AAAAAAATGTACAAAATGATGTAAAAATAAACTGTTAAAAAAAAATAAAACCTAGCACCAAAAGCATGTAGTCAGTGGAGGAGAAACATCATGTAAAATTAATAGTCATCTTATTCGTAGAAAATTCTTGTATTTTTTACAGCTTACATTTTAAAGAAACCTAATCGCAATCTTCTCAAATTTGATGTCTATCCTAATATTTTTAATGAAATAACCAGTGAAGTTGTGAAAAAATGGAAACTTTTCTAATCTGTTAAAAATAATTTTTATACCCTTGTCAGAGGGAAGATTAAATTATCGTTTTATTCTCCTTATACAAAATGTGACAAAATTACAGTATAAAGAAATGTTCAAAGACAATTAGGCCCTCCCAAAAAAGTGTACTGGGTAGTTAATCAAGCTATTTTGTGACTTTTTAAAAAAGATTTATTTATTTATGCATACAGAACTAGGGTACAGGCCAGAGGTGCAGGGGCAGTGAGAGGATTCACCAGAGACAGTGGGGAGCAGAAAAAGCCAACTGACAAAGTACACTGTTGAGGGGAGCAGCAGGCGAGACAGGAGAGGTCTGCTGGGCCATGGGGGTCACCTGTGGGGTAGGGATCGAACTCATGTTGAAGTGGCTTTAGCTTCTTAGTACTGTGCTTTAAACTGCTATGCCACCAGCAAGGGCCCTGTTTTGTGACTTTTAATGCTTTTGTAATGTGTGAGCCAGGTAGTATGAGTAGTCATAACCTGAATGTTTGCTAACCTTTTCCCTCCATTTGAGTGTGCTGTACAATGTAAAGGATTCCCAGTGATTTGTTGCATATGTATGTATGCACTTAGAACAGATGGCTTTCATCTTATGGTCATGCACTAACTCTGTCAGCTTGAATTTCCTGCAGTGAGTTGAAAGATGAGTTGAAATCTTATGTATTTTAAATATAAACTAAATTTTCTTCATATAATGCATGGCTTTTTTTTTTTAAGATTTGTTTATTTATGCATAGTAGAACTGGAGTAAAGGCCAGACATGTGGGGGTGAGAGGATTCACCAGAGACAGAGTAGGGAGCAGAACAGGCAGAGTGACTAAATACACTGCTGTAGGGTGCAGTGGGTGGGCCAGGAAAGGTCTGCCATGCCATGTGGGTCATCTCCCTGGCTGGGAATCAATCTCATGCTGCAGTGCCTGCGGATAGCTTAACAGTATTTCTCTTTAACCCTTTGCACAACCAGGAAGGGTCTGGCTTTATGTTTTTTTCAGAATAACATTGCCACTTACCTACTTGTACATACTCATATAGGTTGGCCTTGGTTTGTACATTTTCCATATGCAAGACTTTCTGCTGAAGCAGTACTGTGCAAAGCCAGGACTACTAGCATCTATATATGGGTATATGTACATCTGTGTATGTATTTAGTTTTTGATTTTGAATGTAATTATTTTTCAGATATTTGAAAATGGTAAAAACACTGGAGAGATCTCTGTTTGTATCAGCAAGAAAGATTTGGGGTCAAATAATCCAACTCAAACTGGAGCTATGATGGAAAGAGTGAGTTGACTATGTCTAATTGTCTTCCAAGTTCCTTCTAGTTAATTTAGACAATTACATCTTTGAAGTTCCAAGAAGATCAGTCACTTGCTGAATCTGTAATGGTTGCTAATTTTTAGCTTGATTTCTAAATACTTTAGGCTCTAAGCTTTAGTATAATTTCTGGCCTCTTATTAGCATTTTAATCATAATTATGCTTCTTCATTTGGAGATCTGTCTACTCTGGACTCTGGGATTTCCCTTTTGTTTACTCGTATGATGTTATATTTAGTGGAGGGTATGTTCTGGGTATACAGTATTTTTACTACTTCACTAACCTGCAGTCTTGGTCTTCTGTGTTCCTTGGGAGCGAGTCCAGACAGTTGATCTTAGGCACTCTACTTTTGCCTACTTTGTAGGCATTTGGGAACATGCAAAAACAGCATGTTCAGGTTCTTTACTTTGGGCCTTTGTCTTACATAAAAGGACACTGAGACCCCATTGTTTACAAATTGGGGTTATGCACCTGAGTATACACCGGTAGTAGGGGCCCTGTTGCTTGCCCTTTGTTTAGAGAATTGCTCCTCCCCCCCCCCCCTCAGTTCAGTATCCTCAGACTTATCTTTCTGGTATCCACTGCCTGTGCAGTCAGTCCCAACAGTTGCACGGAATTAGGACACTCCTCCCACTGTTAGTTGGGTCCCAGAGAAATGGAAATGCTGCCTTGATTGATTAGGGAAAGAAGGAGCCAGAGCCTTGACTGGTTTCTTGACCACTTACTATACAAGTCACTGTGATATAAGAGCCTCCCTAGAATTCACCCATCTTTCCTCTTTTCACAGTTGAGTGATTCACTCTATTGTTCATTTTAAAATTGAAGATGACATTTATATTATTATATGTGAAGATAATGTTCTATAGAAAGTTTTTGTGTTGGCTTATTACACACTAAAATTGATGTGTGCATTGCTAATAAATGCAAATAAATTTGGGGGAAAATCTTGCTTTAGGGGAATGATAAAACTCTTTGGGAGAGTACTGTGACACCAAGCATGATCGTTCCCTTGGTGCACGCTTGTCTCAATCACTAGCCTAAGATGTTCACACTCTTCTCAGGTCCCTGAACAAATCCTTATCTTATAAAGGCCTGGTGATGATAGCTTTAAAGATAAATGGGTGAAAATTATCACAATTTTTGGTCACCATAACCCAGCCCTAACCAATGACCTAGAGATGAAAGGCACTGAGGCCTTTACCTCCTGTAGTCTGTCGAATGCTTATCTTTGAACACCTAAAATGCAGTCTGTCACCAAGTTGAGAAAATAGAGATTACAATGCAACTTCTGTGAAAGTGAATTTGGTTAAGCGGTCAGGTGTTCACATCCCTTCTGTACCACACACCCCTGTTTTTTGTGTACACATTTCTGTCCTGCTTCTAGCCTTAAATCCCTCATCTCTTTCCCCTATACAAAAAGGTGATGGCTGTAAAACAAAATCACTGTGATTTTTAAAATGATCAACATTACATGTCTTCTGAAATAATAGCAAAGCTACAAAAAAATAAGTTGAAGGCCTGAGCCCACACAGAAATAAATGTAGGGCTTTGTGAACACAATCTACATTTTCAAAATATGTTTGTGGTTCCAGTGATAAAACAAAATGCAGGTTTTTACTATTCTAACAGCTTTACCTAAGGAGAACCATCAGTGTTTGTAATCAGTAATCAATTAGGTATGCTGAGTGAGAAGCATTAACTTTAATGAAATGAAAAATGTGACTTTTCAGCCCTTCTGAGGCTAAAAATCTGGTAATGTAGAGCTGATGAAGCAAGGTAGATCTGATTAGGTTGGAGTACAGTTATCTATAATCAGAGCAAAGCATAGCTTTTTTAAAATGGTTAAAAAATACCTTACTTGGTCAAAAGTTTATAGCTGATTGGTAGGGAAACCCTAGAAAAATAACAGGATTGGGTTTTTCTCATCTTTCCTCTTGGAGCTCCAGCATTTAGCACTTTTCAATAACTTCAGTGGCAAATAATAGAAGGAGAAAAAGAAAAAAAAAAAAAGCAAGCAGCCTGAAAATCAGATAGGTAAGAAAAGGCTACAACTATATCTGCATCCCTGCCGAGATTACAAAGGAACAAGAAATTAAGAGACAAGTGAACTGACAAGGGGGGGAAATAAAGGAAGCCTGTTAGAAAAACTGGGGAAGAACAGAGTGATGGAGAGAGCAGGCAAGAAAGAGCAGAAGCCTAAACACTCAAAGGTGATAGATAATGCTGAAAAAATATCTTAAAATGTTATATGCAACATAGTTGAAGTTAGCTTTACTTTCAATTTGAAAAATGCCTAAAATTAGATATGTCTTGATAATTTAGAGACTACATGTTGGAAGTGAATACTGGTAGTGCTACTATTTCAAATATTAAAATATTTGAAATATCATTTCATACATTGAAATATTTGAAATATCATTTCATACTTTACACTTCAATTATGTCTTATTCACAACTTGATAACATTCATTATTGAGAGTGCTTGCAAGCTTTTATAGGGCTCTTAATTAAATTACGCTCAGGAAGAGTTCTTCTAAGTGAACCGATGTAAGCTGAAAGTCATTTATTTTTGCAATCCTGTAAGTGGTCGATTACTCTACCATTGGTGATCTGAGATTATTTGGGGGTGGGGAGATTGCTCACTGTAAAACGTGAATGTGCTCTGGAAAGACCTTACCCTAAGATGTGTAGTTCAGACTAGAAAGGTGTAACCCTTATCAAAAAGAACTGTTCCTGTGTGTAGAAAAGCTAAATGCTCTTTCTGTAAGACTGTCACATCTGCTTTCAGTCCCTGAGCCAAAGGGTCAGAGCTCAATCACAAGCCTGTGGCACCCCCTGCTGGTTAAAAGCCCATGCTCATTTTGTTACTTTACACTGAGCTAAACATTGCCGTCATTTCACACTTCTTTTAACATTCTATATGAATTTAATTATCATTTGTTTGGACTTCATTTGTTATAGAGTAGAGACATTTTTTTACAGATGTTCACACTTTAGGTTATTTTTTCTTCTTCCTCCTCTTTTTTCCACCTCCAGTTACTTCTCAAGATTCTTCAAAAGCTTCACGGTTCTTCCATCAACCCATCAGGCCTCAATATTTCTTCAGTCCGGCTTTATGATGAGCATGGTCAAGAAATTAAGAATCCACTTTTGCTGAAGAATGAGCAAAAAATTTGGGTCTCTTACGGTAAAGCATACAGGTAGGAGCCAGGTGCTATTTCTCTGTTCTGAATCTTCTGAGGGACAAGTTAATTTAAAAGGAGAGTTGAGAAGCCAAGTAATACGTTTTATGGAAAAAATTATTTTTAATTCAAACAAAAATTTCAGGTTTTTTTTTTTTTTTTTGGTGTATGTAAGGCAGTATTGTTTGTGGGATATGACATCTCTCTCTCTCTCTCTCTTTTCTGACTTTCTGTCTTAATGCCTTGTCATAGTTCTTGAAGTCTGCCTGTCAGCACAGCAAGTGGGATTTGTTCATGTCTGAGTAGTCACCTTAATGATAGCAGATGGAAACGCTACAGGGGGCCCAAGCCCATCACACTGTCATTGTCGCACACTGCCCTGACCTGCTTCCACTCCTCTATTTTTTGTCCCTTTTTAAAGGAGAAATGGATGGTAATTGAAAAGGATCTTAAGCAAGATTTATGAAGCTGTAGACAACATGATTCCCTACTATCTCTCTATGTTTTCACAAATAAAGTCTTAACCTTTTAAGCACCAATGACAGCACAGCTAAAGATAAATTGGTAAAGCTTGTAAGCCCTCTCCTATCAAAGTTATATTCCTCAAAAGTGCCTCACATTATCCCACAATAATTACTGGTTATTGCTGAGCATTGTGTAAATTTTAGTGGATTGGTAAATACCTGCATAAAAATTATCTGCATTTCTGAGAAAAGAAAAAGGTTGCAGTCTATAAGCACTGATGAACTAACTGGACTGTTGTGTGGACTGTCTTGGAAATGTATGCATGTTTTGACAGGACACATCCAGATGAACTCCGAACCTGCTTGTCAGGAAACAAACATGCTTTTCTGTGTACTTTTAATTTTTTTAAGGCTCCATATCTTTAGGACAGAAGAGGGGGAAATAGCTTTGCTTATAGAATATAATTGATCATATATTTATTATGAAAATAACAGAACTAAGAGATGGATTTACTGTATTTTCTGAGTCAAAATTTCAAATATTGAAACAGATCCACTCAGAACTCCGTGAAGGTTTGGGAAGAAGTTGGTAGGTTAAGTTGCAGGTGGCATATTATAAAATCTTATGTTGTCCCAATAAAGTTAGAGTATTTAATAATTTATGCTGTGCAGTTTATAGAATTAAAAATTTCTGTAAGGAATGATGCTTTTTCAATAGCAGATTTTCAAATGTAATTTAATTACATTGTGAGAATTGTTTTGCAATGATAAAAGCAGTGATGAATTGTAAAGCGGCAAGATTTCTCAAATAATTTATCAAGCTCTTCCAATGACAAGGAAGGCTAGAATAAAATGTTTGTCATTGTTATTTCTTCTTGATATCTTTGTTAAAGTGAAAATGTCTGACTAATTTTGATGTTTTTAATGATGTTTGCTACAACATAGTATTTTAATAAGATAAAATACTTATTCTTGGTTAATTGGGTCACATTCATGGAATAACTAGTAAAATGCTAAATATTTGGAATTTTCTAAAATCAGCTAAGGATTGTAAATAGAGTTTCAGAGGTGTATATATTTGTTGCATTTCTTTGCTATTTTAATATGTTAATCTTTTTTTTTTTTTTTTTGCTAGGTTTGAGTCTAGTATAAAAAACACCAGAGAAAAAATACAGCATTTTTCTACTACTGGAAATTCTAAAATTTATGTGAAAAGTTATTTCCTTCTTTTAAAATACATTGAGAAAATGTACAATACATACTAAAATAATGCTTATTTTCAGAGAGCAACTCTAATGTGCAAAATTATGTTGCTATGGGACGTCACGCTACTCATTTTCAAAAGATGATTTTGCCACTGTGTGCTTCTATTTTGAAACCTTTTAATTATTTTCCCTCAATTTTTACTTTGAAAAAATACAATCTACAGAAAACTTGAAAGAACAGAGCAGTGAAGACCCAGATTCACTAATTTAAAGAGCTAACTACTCTCTTATTTTTCCCTCTTTTAAAATTAATTTAAAAAATTAATTCCAGAAAACCACTGAGGCTTTTTCCATAAATGTTTTGGTCATGTAATTTAAGAATAGGTTGTTCTGTGTCACCACATTCTAATATTCTAACACAGTAAACAGTGACTTCATATCATTTACTATCACCCTACCTAAAATGTGCTTTATAATCCAGTCTCCAAAAGAGTTTCATGTTATATTTAGTTATTCCTTTTAATCTAGAATATCCCCCTCACCTTTTGTTCTGTTTTTTCTTATATTGATTTGTTTTAATTCAGGCACTTTTCTTACAGAATGGTTCACATTTCTGAATTCGTATGAGTCTTTTTCTCATTATTATACTCAGTTTAAATGTTTTTGACAATAACACTACATTATTGGTTGAGTCCTATAGTTCTAAAGTTAAATATAATAAAATCTTTGCTACCATTTCTGGAAAAAAGGCTCATATTTGATAGTATTGTCATAACTTTTATTTTCCATTTGATTGTTATTCTCAAATAATAAAATTACCCATTAACAATATATTCCATGAAATTAACCTAGGTCAAATCAGAGCAATATTTAGTGAACTTCCAAAAAATTGTTTGCAATCAAATATTAAAGATTCATTTATCAACCTGCAAATATTATTGTGGTGTATTAACATTCATTTGCAGTTACAAATGAAAAAAATGAACACTATATGAATAACAGTTGTTCTCAACTAAATACTTTGCTTTTGTTATGGAAATTTTTTCTCTTAATTATACATGCTGCAACTATTTTGAACATATTAAATTATCCAAATAAATTAAATGTGCATTTCACATGTCAGCACAGGATACCGACATGTTATGTCTTTTATTAGATATGATATATTTGTAACATTTATTTGTGCTCACATTTCAGTGTTTGTATATATTTTACAATAGCTTTCATTCTTTCATTTTTTTCCATTTTCCAGATCTCCACTAAACCCCATTTTGGGTTTGACCTTTGACCAAGTGACTGCATTTGCCAGACATGGTATTACAATTGCATATAAAACCTTCTTGGATCCTAATGCTGTTCTACTACCTGGATGTGACAAGTAAATTAACATGTACTTGGTTAAAGTAGTCTACATCATCTAATTCAGGATTTCCCAGAGCAAGAGATTGAAACATTAGAAGATGTCCTTTGAATCATATTAGATAAGCTTTTTTTTTTCATTTTGTTGACTTGTTTCATGATGTATTGAGCTAATTCCTAAAAAACTTAAAAAATAGTTTAAAAAAAATGCTGCATTGAGCAAACCAGTGCATGCTTTGCAGATTGCAAAATTTCTGTGCAATTTTGTCTGAAATATAAAAACTGTTTTAGGGATCTTTCATAATTAATAATTTTATATGAAATCATTAATACTTTAAATAATGTGGTTTTTGTCTAAGTATCTAAACATTTTATTTGAGTATAATAAATTAAAAACAAAAGCAATATGCTATAAGTTTGGTAGTTTAGTGAAAAGAATAATACTAGTTTGAGGACTGGGCCTGTAGCTTTGTTTTTGTTCAGGATGGTCCATGTGCATATGGGTGTCAGTTTCTTATCTGTAGAAATGAAATCTGCAATTACTAAGTGTTGACCGTAGGCCAAGCACAGTTCTAAATGACTTAGGTAAGAATTTAGTATCTCCAAAAAATTATTTTAATTCCATTATTTCTCTTTATCCTATTATTACTCCATTTTACAGAGACAAAAAAATGAGGCAAAAAATCAAAGTAGCAGTCACACAAGGGGAATGTTATCAAGCCAGTTGCTTATTATCCAGATTGTTTTTCCGCCCCCCCCCCATAATGTATATATTTTAAACTAGGCAGCATTCAGTCACAATATTATGTGTGATAGCTGTATAGGTTCAGTTTTTCAGATTATGTTACCACACCCACCACCAAAGTGCTCATAATCCTCCACTATTGACCATTAGGTCCATTCCCTCCCTCCCCTTTATCCATCACCCTCACTCTCTCCTTCTGGTGGTGTTAACTTTACAGGATTGGTTTTGGTTTTAGTTCTGTCTCTTACTTTATTTTCGACATATCAGCAAAATTATCGTCTCTTTGTCTTACTCCTTCTGACTTATTTCACTCAGCTCAATCCCTTCCAGTTCCATGCATGGTGTTACAACAGATTGTTTTCCTTAAGAATTGGTTGTATGACCACTCTCCAGCACTGTCCAATAGATCTTTCTATGATGATGAGAACATACTTTGTGGCTGTTGAGCAATAGTTTAGTCTGCTATGTGAAAGTTTGAATTCTGCCATTTCATTTTTACAAAAGCTCTACACTAGTATCTCTTTTCACTAACCAAAGGAAATCCTAAGAGGATTTTTTTTCTTTTATGACAAAAAGTAAAATAGCTCTCAGTTTGCTTTGCAGTATTTTCAGAGCTAGCACTCTCTGAGCAGCAAGGGTGGCATTGCCAAGCCTTCCCTGACAACCATTTTATACTGTTGGTCTATTTATCATATCATTTCTGTTTTGACCAGAAATAAGCATTATTTTATGTATTTATGTGTTGTTGGCATGATTTGATAGTTTGTTTTGGAGTCTGGGAAGGTTCAATTTTTTTTTCCATATAAATTAATGGTAATTGCTTCTTTGTTTTTTGCTATTTTGACTTATGATAGGTTACACCAGATCATTCACTTTTGGATAGTGGGAAACAGATCTTTAACTTTTAACACATCACAACGTTCCTAAATATATGTGTGGATGGCTGAAGTTTATAGAGCACAAACCCAAATAGCATAAACTGTCTGATGAGGTCACTCAGTCCAGATAGTGTCAACCTGTTGCTACAAAGGCAAATTCTATGGCTTTCCTTCGTAGCAATTTAAACAACATGTCTGTCCCCTAAGGACTGTACTTTCCAGGCAAGATGTGAGTCTACTTTATCTTTTTCTCTTTTTCTTTAGAAATAGAAAATAACTCATCTGCAATGTTATTATAGACATTTTTATTTATGAAAAGATTTATTTCATGTGCAATAATCTCTCCCCAAGTTGTAAACTTTGTCTAGACTATTCCCTTTTAATTATTATCTAGCAGCTTATATTTGTAAATTAATATTTTTATGTATTTTTTAAAAAATTTACTCCCCTGCATGTAATGAATGTTGTTCAGTTAAATGGATTCAAAATAGATCTAGGTCCCAAAGTATAACAATATGAAACTGTCCTTATCAAATACAGAGTAACTTTAAAGATAATTTACTTAAATTTGGAATAAATTGAATTTTCTTTCTATGTACTAAAGAGGGCCATTAATTTAAACCTTAATAATCATATATATATATATATATATATATCAGCGTATTAATAAAAAGTACTATTAGTCCCAATAGTGGTTTCTATTGAATAACATGCCATAGGTATTTCCTAAAATATCTATGTTGCACCAATTCCTTTTGTTTAGGTTAAAAATTGACTCACTTTTAAAATTAGTGACTTGACAGCACTATGAATGAAACCCAATCTCTCCAGTTTGTGTTTTGCTCGTTTATCTATGACGCTGTGCTGCTTCTTAATATTCTCTAAAAAGGTCAAATGTATGTGCTTCATACAAACATCATAAGTATAAAAACATCCTCTATAATTTATAAGCCAATGTTTTTAAAATATAAATTCAGTTTTAAAGATGATCTTCACTATGAGTGATGCTGTTAAATTAAAATTCATGTTTTGTTTGTCTATTCTATTAATAATTAGACAGGAAAGCTCCTGGTAAATAATTACAAAGTGAAATTTTAAAGTTGCCTTTCCAAATTTTGGGAGCCAGGCACTTTACAAATTTCTGTAAAGAGTTTACAAGCTGGGCCTTCCTAATGGCACAAATGGTTAAAGTGCAGCACTATGAAGCTATCTGGCAGCCACTGCAACATGAGTTCCATCCCCAACCAGGCAGGTGACCCACATGGCACAACAGACCTCTCCTGTCTCACCCTCTGCTCCCCTTAGTAGTGTATTTCAGTAGATCCACCTGTTCTGTTCCCCCACTGTATCTCTGGTGAATCCTCTTAACTCCTGCACCTCTGGCCTCTACTCCAGATTTTATATGCACAAATACATCTTTAAAAAAAAAAAGATTACAAGCTATGTTTTGGTTTTCCTTTTGCTATAAGAATGTAAGATGTACACATTATTATGCAAACTAAAGAGTATATAAATATTTTATTCTAATAAAAACAATTAAATTTCATTTTTCTTAGTTGGGAAGTTTGTGAGGGATTTCCAGTTAATTTCAGCTGTATCAGTCAGCAAATACCTGATCAATTTGAAAAGGTGGACTTGGATAACCATTTCTTACAGAACAAGGTCAGTATCGTTTGTTGAATTTAATATGGTGTATTTTATGTATTGGACACTCATTCCATATATACTCACTAAGTGGGTAGTTATGAAAAATTTTGAAAGTTATAAATTATTTTACTAATATTTAGAAGTTTTTTTTTAACTTCCTATTAATTAAGCTCCTTAAAACTGACCCACCAGATAGCATTCCCACTTGAAAGAAATTCTTCTTGAATTATATTAATTCTTACTGATTGGTATATTTTTCTTTTAACAAGTTGTTTTATTAACTCAGAGTTGTTTACAAAAGTCTTTAAATTCACCACTATTTCTTTGTACTTTAGGATCTGATCTACTTGCTCCATTCTTCAATGTATCTAAGGAACCTTAATTCTTAGAAAACCCAACTCATGACAGTCCAATCCAGAAGGTCTATTAATTTGTTCTTTCCAGTAAAGAATTTTTTCCTCCAGTTTATCTATGGAAGATATGTTAAACTTATATCTGAAGAAATGATAATTCCTTTGTTTTTCTTAGAAAAATTATTCATTTCAATTGCATAAGTTTTTAGTTTTTGAGTGTTTGACATAGGAACCAACAAGCACCCTGAGATGTAGAGCTGCCCAAAGGAAGTGAGGCATCTGTTAACTGATCTGGGGCCTTTATTTTCAAAAGTCAGTGTAAAAGACACATGGTCCCAACCTGGGCCATGCCGCCTTTCGTTCTATGACATAAAAATTTATACTGACATTGAGCAAGGAGCATATGAATCTAAATAGTATAGCTGTAAAAATTGAATAAATACATATTTTTTATTTTTGTCTGTTTTTGAGCAAATTTAGAAAATATTTAGTTGAATGGTACACTAAGATTTAATGTTTTTTAAATTTTATATTCATTTGACTTAAGGTTAATTTACTAAAGTTCAGACCTCAACAGAGTTCCTTTGTAGTTTAGTTATTTTTTTTTCCTATAACATTATTTTCTTGCTCAAAAATCTCTCATGATGGTTGTTGCCTACTGAAGCTCCAAATCCTCATCTCTACGATTCTCCCCTGATCTTCCCCTTCTCTTAATTTACCTTTCCAGTCTCTTCCCCTTGATCTTCTTTGTGTTCTAATCTACAGTCAGGGTTGATAAATTGTATCCCATACATGCTTTATTCTTTGGCATATTTGTCCCATGGCATGTGTTGTTCAGTGCCTATAAGCTCTGCTTCTAAATGTTTTTTTCAGCTTCTTTTTCTATGAAGCTTTCTAAGATCCTCCAGAGAGAATTATTTTCAAATTATTCTGTATTCTCAGAACTCATTTCATCTGTTGAAAATTGTGCTCAGTTTGTGTTTCGGTATAGGCATTTGCTTTTGTGTTTTCTCCCCCACTAAATTGAGAATTCTTGGGCTATAGACATTATGTCTTAATCATCTCTGAATTTCTGAGTCCTAGATTAAGGCCTTCAAAGTAGGACAGCTACACAGTACATTTTTGTTATTGATTTTTAAAAGTTAGCTAAAACCTATCTTTTAAGGCTCACTATTCTCTGTGTATTTTAGGTTGTTCATTTGTGACTTTCTGAGAACACTATATGTTTCTGTTATTTGCACATGGGTTTTGCTCATATAGTCCCTCTGCCTGGAATAAACCTTCCTTATCACTGACCCCGACCTTCTCTGTAATGTTTGTGTCATCTCCTAGCACAATGCCTGGAATATAGTGAGCATTTAATACATTGTTTTAGATCCTGCTCATCAATCTAGGTTTGTCTGATTGTGTCTGCTCCATGAAATCTGTCTTTACCCCCATCCAGTCAGATGTGATGTTCCTGGCCTTGAGACCTCCCTTGTATACATTTTGTGCCATTTATAATATTAAAATCCTCTTAAATGCTTTGCATAATTTGTAGTCAATCACCAATCAGTTCACATTAGGGTAGTAAGGGAGAATGATAGGGTCTAATGAGAATGTTGGCTTCAGATCATAAAAGGTTATAAGTCAATGTTAGGGGTTGTCCTATAAAAAGCAAGGTGCCATATTCATGCATAGGCAAGATCTCATTAGATCCTTGTCTTAGGAAGATAACTTAGGATGCCCTTGGCTTTTCAAAATAATATTTGTTCCAAACTTTCTTTGAATCGCTCAATTATAGGCACACCATAAAACCACACAGCTAGACTATGATCTCCTAAGGATATTGATCCCTAAATTGATGAAGTATTTCTAATATCCTACTAGTTGCTAATATATAATAGAAACTCAGGATGTGATTACTGAAGAAAGAGGGAATTACAGATGAAAGTTGGGATAATTCTATAATAAAGAAGAGGTAACCTAAGAGGAAAACCAAGGTGAAGATAAGTAATTCATGATAGTAAGCAAGCTTATAAAATATAATTTTGTCACAAAAGCAAATATTATAATAACTCCAGGTGTCCAAAATAAAGTCAGAGATTTAATGCTCTGTCATGACAATGCCCACATTTCAGTGGGAACTCTGTGACAAATATGTAACTGAAATTAAGTCATTGTATCACTTAGAAAGTTATCATTTTTAAATAAAATTTTGATTTCCTACTACTGAGGAATAAAATCACTTTTAAATTTAATCCTTGTAATATGAGAATGCATTTGCTTTTTGGAGAATTAATATTGCTTAGGAAACAAAAGAGAATAGGAGAAACTGTTCTCATAAAAACAAAACAAAACAAAACTATCCCTGTCTCATCATTTAGCAATTATATTTAAAACAAGTAACTAGAACATAAATTGAGGCCCTCATCTTAGCTTTCTTACCAGATTGGAAATTCCTTGGGTTAATAGGACATGGTGATTAGACTTGTCTCTTTTGCAATATCTAGATGCTTAGAGCTAGCTAGATGGAATTGAATTCACATTTAACTCGTTCAAGAGAGACTAGGTCAAACTTGAGAAAAAATGTCTATCAAAGCATTTTTAGGGTACAGTAACCCAAGACAACTTCTCTCTTTGATTGCATTCCAAAGTAGCACTTTAAAAGATGAATATATTTTCTAATATTGAAAAATGAAAGAACTTTACTCCACTGTGACTGTTGAATGGTTTTAGTGACTTTATGAAAGTCAGAAAACACTCTTCTTAAGTAAAGTTTGTACACTATTGTATTTTTTAAAAAAGAAATTGGTTTTAAATAAAATTTTAATCTAACCAACATAGTAGTATAAGTAAGAAGATTTGATAAACTGGCTAGTAAAGAAAACCTTTCAAAGGAAAATGGTCCTTTCTTAGCTATGAAACCTTTGAAATCCTTTCAGAAAATTGTCTAATTATATATAGAGAGATGATCAGTACATTGGAAATAGTAATTTAAAAACCTGAAAGAAGAACTTTTAAAGGGAGATTCACCAGAGGTGATAGATCTCTATAGGGAATTTTATTGTGGACTCTTGATGCTCATTGTGGTAAAGAAGACGCTAAGAGGATTACAGCCAAGGTACAGAAAAGTGGGGCAAAAGCCGATATTCTTGATGCATAAGTTTTAAAATTGGCTTGAGATAGAAATACCAGTGCCCAGCCCCTGACTGTTCTTTTAAATCTCTTATTGACAAGTAAAACCTTTCCTACAGTTGAAAAGTTGGAACATATAATCCCTATTAGTATGTGAGAGACAGGTATAACCCTGACAATTATAACCTGTTGCTCTTTTATCCATTTCCAAAAAAAAAAAAGGTTTTGAATTTATTACAAATTGACAAGTTCGTGACTATCACTTTCAACACTGCTCTATTGTTATTTCGATTGAAAACATTTTTAGATGGTTTCCTTTTAAAAGTGTCTCTCTTTAAAGGTAATAAAATGTTTCCATTCATTTAAACTTCATAGTAGCTGTTACAAAAGAAAAAAATCACAAAAATAATTGCTTCAGTTATGCCTGGTTATGGGAAAGTACAGCAGAAAAAATGAACTTCAGTGTATGGCAGTCTTATGTTTTGCAAACATGAAATGGGATTATATTTTGATGTTAGTCTTTTGTTATAATCAGACATCAGTGGCACATTGGTGACAACTTTTGGTATGGAAACTGTCAGAATAGTACCAATTTAGGACTTTAGAATTTTGGCAAATTTTTGTAAATTTACAGTCATGGATGCTGGCATGATATTGGGAAGAGGCAAGTAGTCTTTACTTTCTTTGAAAGTTGTTTAGGATATTTTCTACAAATCATTATACTGGGGAAACGACATTTTTAAGTTTTAATTGGATTGTCTTGCCTTAGAGTAGTACTTTAAGTAAAATTTCAAGTTCCATCCTCATGTTTAGAATGATAATCAGAACTTTTTTTAAAGACCACATAACTAGATGTTAGATGGCTTGTTTGGTTATATAATTATGTATTCACTGATATTTTCTGTTTACATTGTTTCTAGTTCTTGGTCTTAAATGTGAGTAGGTGGATTAGTTGTAGATTTAGAAAATGCATGCTGTAAGAGTGAATTAGGGATATAATGAAATATTTTATAATATTAACATTTGTGATATAAAAGTTTTATATCTTTTTTTACTTGACCTTAAATTTACTATGAAAAGTGAAATCTTCTCCAATGTATTGATAGCAAAAGTAAGTCATTTTATTAGAAAAAAAGATCTGTGAAATCCCCTTTAAGACAAATTTCTTGGTATATCTTGCTCTTCAGCTGGTTTACAAGAAAAGACGATATTGGCCCAGCAATGGTGACAGCCTATTCACTTTTATTGGGATTTGGGAAAATAAAGTTAAACAAGAAGTTTCAACTGACCTAGCATATTGTAAACATCATTTAAATCATAGTTAGCTTCTATATTAGCAAAGTCAGAATAAGTTATAGGGGCCATTTAAAAGGAGGTAGAGGTGAAAGCATTCAAAAGAATAATAGATCTATCTATCTATCTATTGATTCTTAACAAGATTTAAAGGGATTTTAGTGACATGCATAATGGTATGTATTTAGAGACTGTTGTCAACACAAATACTTTTATACATACACCTTTGCATGTATACACACAAGTACACACACGTACATGCACACTCACAGAGTGCTTTTCTGAATTCCAATTTTTATAGTTTTTTTTTAATCTCCCCCACCTTCATAAAGCTAAATTATCAGATTAGATTAAAAAGTAAAAAAGGTGAAGTCATTAAGAGAAATGTAATGGCTATTGTCAGTTTTAAGTGTAGCAGGACCCCAGACTTGGCAGAATCAATTTTTTTTTTTAATAACATGAAATGAAGCTAAGTTAGTGGGCCTGGCTGTGTCTGTTCTATATAGAATCACTTGGGAACTGTCCAGCAAAATATCTCTTGAAAAACAGCATGGTATTAATACTGGGTGCCAACCCAAGACAGACACAAAGGACCCCTTCGCTCTTCACCAATAAGCCAACTGTTAAAAGATTAAACCATGTTGTGGAGATAACAAGAATTTAGGCGCTGGCAGCAGGTGCTGTACAAAGAAGCAGTTGGCAGTGCTGTTCTTCTGTCTGACTAATTCCAGTCAAAACAATCTTCTTCCCAGTTGCAGAGGAGAGTTTTGAGTGTGATGGCAACTTGGAGTTAGGAGGTTGAGTAAGAGTGCTGCTTTAAATGCTGAATCCTGTGGTGGATGGATTAGTAGAATATAGTTTATCATTGTTCAGGCACTGTGGGGGTATTCTCCTCCAGAATTGGGCCACGGGGAATACACAAAGAGCTGTAAGGCAAATCTGCTTATGTAGTAGCATTGCTGTATTTCTTAAATTCTTTGCTCACATATAGGAATCATAAGACACTTCTTCTGTTGAGAAGTGATTATCACTATACAATAATAATTTTAACAGTTTTATTAGATACACCTTTTATTCTTGCCCGGTCACTTTTAGAAGGCATTAGGTTTTAAGTTTTTATTTAACTTTTGTATTTAAAAAAATCATTTACTACTTAACAAATATGAGTATTAACAGCGTAGAATATTAGAAAGTAATTTGAATCATTATTGAGATAATGCCAGTTGTTGAGGTTAAAGTGGCATATACCCATTATCTAAACAAATCAATTTTGCTATTTAAAAACATATCATGCTTACACAGGGGAAATAATCATAAGAGGTGGAGTAGTTTATTGAATATGAAATGGTAGAATTCCTTCAGGTGACATGAATGCTTATTAATTTGACAGTGAAGCCTAGGTAAGAAACTCCTAAAAGGTTCACAATATATTTAACATATTTAATGTGGTTACAAACACAGGAGACAGGGAAGTAGTGTCTCTCCAGTTGGTCCACTACCATTCATGCCCACATGTATCGTTGAAATCTCAGCAAATATCTCTTTATTCTTAAGAAATTGTACAGACATCCAACTGTTTTCCCTGCCTTTGATCTCTCCATTCTCAATCCATTACATCTATCTTTGTCTGGTCAACCTTACTAAAATCTGCTGTAATCCAGTCCTTCCTGCTTGAGAGCTTTCAGTGGCTACCCACTGGCATCTAAGTCCATAGCCTCACACTGGACACCTTCAGTTTGGTCAAATTTACCTTTTGAGCCTACCAACAAATCTTAAGATATATTGATTCTGCTTCCTTACCTTTTTAATCTTCATTATTCTTGTGAAAATTCAAAATCCTTCAAGGCTTGGTTCAGGTTGCTTAACAGAAGTGTGGCTGCCATTCTTCACACCTAGAGCACTATTATATCATTCATATGAATGATTGAATTTGTATGTGTCATTTCCTCTACTATTGTACATTTTTTTTCTAGAGCAGGAAAAATATTTAGTGATATCATTTGCCATTAATTTAGGCAAAGGTCTCTGACACTTCAGTTTCAAAAAAGATCTCAATCTGAAACATAATGTTCTAGGATCACTTATTTTGGGTAAGAGTGTTGAGGAAAGTTAACTGTCAGATTAAAGTTAAAAATTTATACTTTTTCTCATGGTTTAGGTAGATCCCAATGTTGTTCTTCTTGCAACTGTTTCCATCAGAAAGCAGAATTCCATAAGCAGCAAGGTGCACAGCAAGACTCAGATAGCGTCTTCATCCAGTGTGTGGCTTATCACAAAGGTATCCAACAATGTCTGCTCTCTAAGTAACTTCTTTGCTGGTGTTCCATGCTTCTCCAGCTCTTATGTACACAAGTATGCAGTGAGAGCATATAAATTGTTGACTATTATTAATATTGTTTTTCTCCTGTTGGTTTGTCTAATGCTGAGGATATCTGTAGATCTCACATGAGAATTCAGCGCACAATGACATGTGCTCATTAGTTCATATTCCATAGCCTGACTTCAAAACTTGTGCCTTTTGACTGCTCTATTTTTTTTTTTAAAGATTTATTTATTTATTCATACAGAACTGGGGTACAGGCCAGAGGCTCAGGGGCGGTGAGAGGCTTCACCAGAGATAGAGTGGGGAGCAGAACAGGCGGATTGACGAAGTACACTGCTGAGGGGAGCAGCGGGCGGGTCAGGAGAGGTCTGGCTCGCCATGTGGTCTCCTCCGGGGCAGGCGGGAATCGAACTCATGCGGAAGTGGCTTCAGATTCTCAGTGCTGTGCTTTAACCCGCTGCGCCACCAGGGAGGGCCAAGACTGCTCTATTTTTGACCAATTTATGAATATGATGGAAGTGTTCCAGTCTTATCTCTATCATTGAATAGCTATGTGATGATAGATATATCACTCACTTTGTCTGAATTTCCACTTTCTCATCTGAAAAGAGGTGCACCTATATCTTATATTCTATAACTACACAATTTCTGGTCCTAGAACTTCATGATATCAGAAAGCCTATGCTTATTAAATTTTTTTCTCAAAAATATTCTAAGTGCTTACTGATACAAAGATGGGTTTTGGATTTTGTGTGATCTTGAATAAGTTACTTAGCTGTCTGGAACCACTGTTTCCTTATGTACAAAGTGAATTTAGTCAATCTGCCTTGCACAGTTGCTGTGGAGATTTGGTGGGAAAGCATGTGTGAGTATAGGCAGAGTATCCGGTATGCAGAAAGAGTTTAGTAAAGTGATTCTTTTTCTTCACCCAAGCAGTTCCATGTCAAATAAGGACTGTATTTACTGCTTTTTAAGACCAAACAACAAAACTTACCTAAGTCATTATGTATTTATTTTCCATATAGCAAAAGCAAGAGCAATAAATGTTACATTCTAAAAAGAAGGCAATTAAAAACATAGACTGAAAATTCTCTTCCATTTTTCAAAAGAAACCTTATTACCTGTTAAGATAGGGAATCTTGCATTCCATACATCATCAGTATGTGCAAATAACTTCCTTGGTGATTATCGCTTATTTAAAATGTGTTTCTTCACTGTGTAAGCAATTGCTGAGTGGCTATTTAAGTAAGATTCTCAATCAGTGTCCTTAAAGGACAATGCTGGCATTTAAAACAAAAGCAGTCCACAAACCACCTTAAAATGTTTAACCCATGGTATTTAGACTCAGAGTAAAAACTTTCAATTGGTACGAAGGTTAAGGATTTGTTTCAGTCTTTTCAGTTCACTGCACTTTTTTTCTGTGCATATTTCAAGTATGCTCTGTAGTTATAACTATAACAAGTGACACGTGATGGACCCTAAATCGCTGCACTGTGAAATATGCACAGAAAAAAAAGGACAAATGAAGATATCAAGGTCTGTTTTATTTTGCGCTGAACTGTAAAATGCCACCCTTGTTGGACAGAAGATCACTGATTCTGAGCAGGGCTCACTGACTGCTAAGTTGTGGGTAGTGTTTCACTTTCAGCAACTGTTAATATCCAGGGTTATCCAGGCATAATGACCTCACTATTTGTGACACATTGTTGAATTTTCTGGTTCTTTTAACTTATTTAGACCTTTCTCTCCTCTCTCTATTCATTGGAAGACTGGAATGATCCTGAGCAGAGCGATAACTCAGGGCTGCCTAGCTATTGGTCATCCAATCAGAGTCAAGGCCACTGAGGGAACATCACTAGAAGGATATAAGTTAATGCTACAGAAAAGGTAATGCTTATGAGCTATTTAACTCAAAACAATAATGATACTTTCAAGATTTCTAAGCAGTCAAGTCATGTCGCTTCCTGGCTTGGGCGGGATTTTCATTAGGCATTTAAATTTGTGTTCATAATATCAGTAGTAATTTTCCAGACCTAAAATAAGCTTGAAATTGTATGCCACTTAGCTTAGGAGCATTCCTTAGATATTTTTAAAAGTGAAATATTGGCCTTCAACATGTACTGATGTTGTACAAAAGCTGCTGCTTTACTCTATAATTATCAGAACTCATTTCCTTATATCCATTTTGATTGCTAATTAAAAATTTTAATGTTCTGTGCATGTTCCTAACATTTTTTCCATCTTCTTAATATTACATTTTGGACTGTGAAAATGAGAGCAAAAATTACTGGCTTGTGAGGCACTAAAAGTTTTGTTTTTGTTTCTGATTTAGGAAATGATACTAAAATTTAAAAAACACCCTCCTTAATAAAAAGAAAAATTTAAGTTAAATACCCTGAAACCAGACAATTTTTTAAAAAAAATTGTAAAGAGGAGGAAATTTGATTTATATCCAGTAGTGTAGAAATGTTATATCTTCGAAGCTTTGTTTTTCTTCTCTTTTGTCTTCTGATTTCATTTTAAGTTTACAAAAACAAGTCTATTGTATGTTAGGACTTAGAAAGCTGTCTAGCATGATAGGTAGTAAGGAGGAACTAGGTAAAAAACAAAATAACCTAGTCACAAAACAGAATGGGAATTTTCTCTAATATAGAAAGCATATTGTCTAATAGGTATTAGAATATCTCATAGTAATTTATAGTAAACTACAGAGTCAGATTCCCAAGTGTAAATCCTGGCTGTATCTCTTACACTACAAAAAAATGGAAAATATGAAAAGACTCATCACATTTCTCATGAAAACTACAATGCATAAGATGAAAAGTATGTTTAATGTGAGTTATGGGAGATTAGACATTATAGAAGAGAACATTCATGAATTTGAAGTGCTAGTAAATGGAATATATTCACCATGAAAGAAAGAAAAAATATTGAAAACAACTGAACAGATAGCATTAATGACATGTGAGAAAAAGTTGAAATTTTTATAGCTCTTCCCCCCCATACCCATCCTTCCTCTGACCCCACTTCTCCTCCCCACCCCAGTCTCTTCAAATAGTCAAATATCAGTACTTCTAGTCCTGAAAGGAAAAAGCAGGGAATAGGAAAATATTGGAAATAATGGTATCTGAAAATTTTCCAAATTCTGTGAAAACTATATCTTACACATCTCAAGAAGTTACAAAAATTCTAGGTGCCATACATAAAGAAATTCAGCTAATGACATACGTAATACAACTGTCTAAAAGTAATGACAAAGTCTAAATTGTATACAAAGAGAAAAGACATGTTAGATACAAAAGAAACTAAGATAAAACTGACTATAGATTCTTGTTGGCAATAATACAAGCTAGATGGCAGTAGAAAATACCTGTTCAAATACTAAAAAAACTCTGTCAGTAAAGAAATCCTTTCCCAAAGAAAATATATTTCAAATAGTAAGACAAAATAAAAACTTTCAGATAATCACAAATTGAAAGAATATGTTATCAGCAGACTTAATAGTAATGTTAATAATAAAATTACTTCTGGCAGAAAAAAATGATAACATAAAAATGAAGCACACTGGAAATAGTAACTACTTAGGTGGCATAAATTTCTTATTTCCTGTTAGTCTCTTTAAAGATAATTTATTATTTAAAACAAAAGAATATGTTTTGGTGATAATAACATGTAGAAGTAAAATGTTGGAATGCAATAGCACAAATGCCAATTAGGGAGAAATAGAAGAAAGATTTTTTTTAACATTTATTTACTTATGCATACAAAAGCTGGTGTACAGGTCAGAGATGCAGGGGGTGAGAGGATTTGCCAGAGACAGAGTGGGGAGCAGAACAGACCAATCTACTGAGAATACACTGCTGCAGGGAGCAGTGGGCAGGCAAGACAGAAGAGGTTTGCTGCACCATGTGGGTCACTTCCCTTGCCTGGGATCGAATTTGTGCTGCAGTGGCAGCAGAGAACTTCATGGTACTGTGACTAAATCCTTTGTGCCACCAGGGAGGCCCAGATTTCAGCTTTTATTTGGACAAAAGTTGCTAGAGTATTAAGAGCAACTCAAACAATAAATACCCTCATGTGACAGGAACTGCTTCAGATACAATATTTCCCTCTCTCTCTAAGACGTATAAGGTGAATTTAACAAAAGCTGTTAGTCAAGACATAGCCTTTTATATACTAAAAATAATAGCATTAACACTTACATTAGTAACCTGACAACTTGCAAAGATTTTTGTAAATATATCATGCCCCATTAGTTCAGTTATGTCTCATTTGTTTTTACTCATCTTATTTAATACAGCAAGTGCTTCACATATTTGTCTTTTAAATATTTTTTCTGTGATGTGTATCTGACCATAAGCAGGTGAAAGACAAATGAATGATGTCATTACAAGCAATCTGAAAGTCACAAAAAATTACAAAAATCATAAACCTCAAAATCAAAGATTTTTCTTTGTATAGGATATAACTGTTAGGATCTGTATAAGATGCATAGGATCTTGTCTATAGTGTTAAGTTCATGAATTAACTAAAACAAAAACAGACACAGAGACTCCTCATAAGCACATGCATGCACACATCCATACATATAGGTTAGATTATGAAGTTTAAAAACTGGGACCTATAGATTTTTTTTTTTGTTCTGTACATTATTATAATTTTTGAGTCAGCTGTGAACCTTTAAAAGTAGGGTGATTTCACACACATTGCTGACTTTTTTTGAAAAAAAAAAACATCAAAATAATGGCTAGCACTAACCCTTCATTCTTTTTTTTTTTTTTTAAGATATATTTTTTATGAATGAAAGAACTAGGGTACAGACCAGAGGTGTAGAGGTTGAGAAGATTCACTAGAGACAGAGAGGGGAGCAGAACAGTCAGACCAAGTGAAATACACTCCTGAGGGGAGCAGTGGGCAGGTCAGAAGAGGTCTACCACACCATTTGGGTCACCTCCTGGGCAGGGATGGAACTTGTGGTGCAGTGGCCATGGATAGCTTCATAGTACTTCACCTTAACCCATTGCACCACCAGGGAGGGCCCTGGCCCGTCATTCTTTTGTGATACTGATCACACAGGATCTCATTTCCCCTTTGAATGAAACATTTATCTTTCATATTGCTCTATTTCCGCCTTTTCCAATGGCAGTCCTCACACCAGCTCTAGGCTGCTTCATTCATTTTTTTTTTTTTTAAAGATTTATTTATTTATTCATACAGAACTGGGGTACAGGCTAGAGATGCGGAGGGTGAGAGGCTTCACCAGAGACAGAGTGGGGAGCAGAACAGGAGGATCGACGAAGTACACTGCTGAGGGGAGCAGTGGGCGGGTCAGGAGAGGTCTGCCGCGCCATGTGGTCACCTCCGGGGCAGGCGGGAATCGAACTCATGTGGAAGTGGCTTTAGCTTCTCAGTGCTGTGCTTTAACCCGCTGCGCCACCAGGGAGGGCCCTGCTTCATTCATTTTTAATACCAGTCTTCCTTACTATCTTGCTTATTTCAATGAAAATCTTTCAGTTAAGGTTTTTTGCCTCTACCTTTTTTGTACGTAGGCTTTGTTGGAAATGGTGTGATAAAGCAGATTACAACAATACTGCTTTAAGGATATCATTAAATACAGCCAACAAATGTAGCTGTTCAATGGTTAGTACAACAAACCAATGTCATGGTAATCATGACATTGAAAATTATCTCCTTGATCAGTCTTAAAGTTTAGGAAGCTAAGCATTAGATTCAAGCACAGTAACGGACTTTTAATAAGTACATGACATAGAAAGGACTACTTGACAGGCATTGAACTTTTAAGTATATTCACACATTTAGGTAATAGAAATATCATTACCAAACAGAAAATTGTCCATGTGTGTGATTTCATTAAAATGTGGATTGATGAATAAATCTCCTCTTCTATATTCTAACTATATTAACAATGGAAGTAAAAGTCTTTCCTATGTGGACCCTAGTCTCAGTGCTGTAACACTGGAAGAAGACACCAGAGTCATTTGAGACTGTTAAGGAGAATATATTTCTAATTGTGAAACTTGATGTGGGACTTCCTTATAGTCAATTTAAAAGAATGAGCAGTAGTCTCTGATATTTATCCACACAGAACTGTGACCTTGGACTGCTCTTTGCTCCTACTCTCTAGTAAATAGAATATTTCAAATGTGTGTATGTGTCTGGACATACACATATACATGTATATTTTGCAATTTACCCACAGGAGTTCTGTCATGCATGAGCATGCTCAGTGGTGTTACAAGGAGCAAGTTTCCAGGCTAGATAGCTTTCAGTTTCCTCCTCTGCAAAATGGAATTACTGGATAATCCTGAAAGTCATATGCTTTGGAGAAAGGACTATAAACAGCATCCACTCCAATCCCCTCGTTAATCGTCATGAAAGTAATGATGGTGATAACAATAAAATTAACACTATCATCATAAGAAGTTCCAAGTCTACTAAAAATGATCTACTAACAGTTATTTATGTTGTTAAGCCTGGACCAAAACTGAGATTTCTCAACTTTTGTCCCACACACATCAGGAATTTTGTGACTGACATTTTGATGCAATACTGTCACTTTTCTCAATTTTGATGTTGCTGTTCTTATTTTTTAAATTGGGTTTTGGTTCTTAAAAAAGTCTTTAGTATGGCATTTATTGATCAAAAAATAGGAAAGTCTATGACATCATTCCCTAAATCAAGTCCATATAAACATTGTTGCATATTGGATCTAGAATTGATTTCTTTATATATATAAAATGTAGTTAAAATTGAACAGATGGACTTTAATTTGTAGATATTTTATTTTTGAAAGATGTGATTATACATATTATTATATCTTCTCA